TTGTGAACCTCCATGTGCAGATTTCGTGGCAGGTGCAGTACTTTGTGAACCTCCGTGTGCAGATATCCTAGCAGGCACAGCACTTTGTGAACCTCCATGTGCAGATTTCGTGGCAGGTGCAGGACTTTGTGACCTCCATGTGCAGATTTCGTAGCAGGCACAGCACTTTGTGCACCTCCATGCGCAGATTTCGTGGCAGGCGCAATACAAACTGCGTTGTGGAGAGATAGCGAACGCACGAAATGCTGTATTTTTCAATGGAACCGGTGGCTCCGAAGCTGGCAAGTCAAGGTCTGCGGAACGATGGTTGCGAGACGGTCTTGGGTCATGCTCGGGCATGGTCGGAATCGTCCCTCCATTGGGGTTAGAGTTTTCGCTTGTTTCTTGAAGTGCAGATTTCGTGGCAGGCACAGCACTTTGTGAACCTCCATGTGCAGATTTCGTGGCAGGCACAACACTTTGTGAACCTCCATGTGCAGATTTCGTGGCAGGTGCAGCACTTTGTGAACCTCCATGTGCAGATTTCGTGGCAGGCACAGCACTTTGTGAACCTCCATGTGCAGATTTCGTGGCAGGCACAGCATCTGGGGAGCTGGAAGCTGAGAACTGGCGGCTCTTGTAGTACAACTTTAGTACGCGGAGCTATTTGTGAGCTGGAAGCTGAGAACTGGCGACTTTCTAGTACAACTTTAGTACGCGGAGCAATCTGTAGAGCTGGAAGCTGAGAACTGGCGACTTTCTAGTACAACTTTAGTCCGCGGAGCAATCTGTGCAGCTAGAAGCTGAGAACTGGCGACTGTGTAGTACAACTGCAGTACGCGGAGCAATCTGTAGAGCTGGAAGATGAGAACTGACTGGCGACTTTCTAGTACAACTTTAGCACGCGGAACAACCTGTGGAGCTGGAAGCTGAGAACTGGCCACTTTGTAGTACAAGTGTAGTACGCGGAGGAGTCATCTCTCGCTGCTGAGTCATCTCTCGCGACTGAGTCATCTCTCGCTGCTCATTCATCTCTCGCTGCTGAGTCAGCTCTCGCTATAGCCATCTCTCGCGGCTGAGTCATCTCTCGCTGCTGAGTCATCTCTCGCGGCGTGCAGGTTTGGCACAGTTCATACTGATAGTATTTGGTTGCATTTATGCAGGACAGGACATTCAACTGCTGGTCAATACACCACTCATCATACACACTGATCCTGCAGCGGGCACACACCTTACACACGTGGAATCCCGTGGGTCAAAAGTCCGGAGCGCGTGCGTTTGACTGGAGGACGCGCATGTTGGAGAGAACGTGGACACTCCTATGTCAATTTGTTCTTATAGGAAACTTCCGCCGCCGGCTTGCCCGGGAACTGCTTGAAAAATTGAATAAAACATGAAAACACATGTTGTTAATTTAATGAACCCTGTCATATGTACCGGTAGATAAAATGAATCATGATTCATGTCTCAATTTGACCATCAATGACGCTGCGTAAGATGTACAAACATCAACACTGCTCACAATCATGCAATCAAATTTTGGCTCAAGATAGGAATCACGACGCTTTTACCCGAACAGCGGTTTATGATACAGGGTCGTACCCGATTTCCACGGGAACCCCTCTCCAGCAGACAACTTTTCTCTTACCAGATTGGGTTGGGAAACAATGCCCGCCTGGTATAACACAAATACCGAAATGGAGGGACATTGTTTCCCCTTGCGCCTGCCACGAAAAGTCACCATCATGTACGAAAATGTACACGGCACCACAACGAGAGCGCAGTCGTTAGAAGCACCCGCCGCAGACACCCAGATTCAGCGAGCCTGCGCAGTCGAAGTGCACATGAACGATGTCGAGAGGCATGAATGTACTGTAAATAGCAGCGAATTGGCCGGACACGCCCGTGCGGAACAGCGATCTAAGCACACCTGCTTTTCTACTACCGTAAGAACCCCTCAGTGTGCCCACACTGTTTGGGGAAAAATGAGAGTGTGCAGCACAACCCTAATGTAGACTCTTGATTAATAAATCCCCCATATGAAGAGGATGTCCAATTCAATTTGGGGGGGTTATGGTCTTCAAGAGTCTACATTGGCGAGTCGGAGAGTCGTTCTCCAAGGGGGGGGACCGCATGGACCGACCATCTTCTTCCAACCTCGTCGAGGTCTTCGAGGTCGGCAGCCAAGTCACCTGCCGCCTCATGGCGGAAGAAGCTGCCAAGCCGCCGCATGGGCCCAACCAATTGCGTTCGCATTTGGGGCCCATGCTGTGCCCACGCACGCTATCCTCTCAAACGTAGTCCTGGCCGAGGCGGGGCTGGAGTTTCATGTGTTTGCCAGAGGGGACAGTTGGCACGACATCTCCTCAATCTCCAAGACACTGTCAAACTCCCAGACACTGTCGCTGGGAAACATGTTCAGTCAATGTCTTATAATTATATAGGGTGCAAACTGGGCCAAAAGGGGTTCCCAAGCCTTTGGTCATTCCCTGTTGCCCTGGTATCTGAGTCGGCCAACCAAAAGGCCACAACGTATACGAAGACTGAGGGTTTGTTTCAGGCTGGGTTTGGTTTAGATTTGGCAGATTTGGTGTCCTTTTTGTGCATCGATTCGGTGTCTCTCCTTTATGGGCGTCTGTTTTTCAAAGGGCTCGCTCTAAGGAGCTCCGTGGAATGGTCCAGTTATGAGAGTTCTGTAAGGCTCCTAAGACGAAATATCCCAGTCATGTATTGAGGGACTCCCAAAAGCACCAAGAACTGAGAACCAGCCAAAACATCACCAGCATGACAAATCCCTGCAAAGTGCAATAAGCGCAGGAATTGGTGTCATTTCATCACCTGCAAGGACACTTGTGAGGCAGTGCCTGTACTCCAGCTATCGGAAGTGACATTGGATAACTATATAGGCGAATCAGTTAGTTCGAGTGGATTCTTCTAAAACCAGTGACTGGAGATCCACCCACCCTATCCAAATGAAGTCTCATTGGACGACGTATTCTTGGTGACCCCTTTGCCCAAATACCCCAAAGATAGCGATTATATCATGTGATATCTGTACCGTACGTGTCAGTGTTGGAGCGGCATCTCATGGGGTTCTTCCCATCCGCATCGGCGAGACTCACCACACTCACTAAGGCGTCAGACTCCGATCTGGACCCACCCTGGTGTCTGAACAGACCATCTGGACGCCTGAATCAGCTCCAATTGGCTTCCCAAGCCCTTCTTCATCACTGCCCTCGGCTGCATCGAGCGTATCTGGGTGCGTGGGGTCGCCGAATCTGCGGCGTGGCTCGTGGCTCTTCTGTGCACCGTTGGAGCGTTGGATCCCTCATTTCTGACCCACCTCACCACCCTCTTCGGGCGAATCGGACGAATCTGGCGAATCTGTAGTCTTCACTATAGTTTTCCGGTCTTCACTGACATGGAACATGTTCTCATGTGGTAAGTCCGAACTTCCACATGGAACTTCCGAACTTCCACATGTTGTCGGCCCACAAGGTCGGCGTCTTTTGATCCGCTGGTTACTGCGAAAGGAACGGCACGTCGCTGGGTTCAGCTCCGAGGCGGAAGTCATCAAAAGCCATCCACCCAGACGCTCCGTTCACAGCTCGACTGGTCCCTCAAAACCCTAGGGATTTGAGGGTCCGGACCCCTACTTAGGAGGGTCCATGAGCGTCTGGGCAAATCTTAAAAAGACAACGCCTTATCCAAAGTTGTACCTGTCTGGATCTTCTTCAGCTACTTCCAAGCCACCACTGCACAAATCCGCGATTCCAGCTTGTTTCACCGGCTCCCGTGCGGGGATTCATGCAAACACAACTCCGGTGCCACGTACTTTTGGGTAAGGTGGACCATATATGCATGTGTATATATTGTATATTTCATACCCTAAGAATCCGGGCCCTCAAACAAATAGGGTTTTGAGGCCCCGGACCCCTGCTATGGAGGGTCCGACCCCTGCCATGGACAGCCCAAGGATTCTTAGGGTATATATATATATAAGGATCATATAATCATGTGCTCAGTTCGCACCGAGAGAAAAACAAAAAAAAGGCCTACACTACACTACACTCCCTGAGAAAAAAGTGGAGTTCACCACCTGCTTGGTATTTGGAACATGGTTGTCCGAACTCGGGGGCAGTGTAGGTTGTTTCCAAATCGTCTGCCAGGTCACTTGAGGTAGTAATATCCGAAGTCGATCAGGAGGGCCTTAGGAGGGCCATCGTCTGGTCTGGTGTCGATGGTTTTGAAAGATTGGGGTGCTTCCCCTTCCACCAGCGTTGGGAGACCGCCTCAGTGTCAAACAGGTTGGGAAATCAATGGCGTTTAGGGGAGTACTGAACGTTTGCTTCTTGTGGAAGTCCAAAAGTCTCCAAAGAAATGACACAACCTTTGAAGCTAAAACTAAAACACTGTAGAAACTACAACTAAAACTAAACAAGAAGACGAAAACACTTCTCAACAAGAAGACGACAACTAAACCAGTGCTTGAAACAGATCCAGGGTAGCTTCCTCACTCGATTCTTCCACTCGAATTCGTCCAGCTTCTTCCGCCCAAGAGCGATTGACTCGTGCTCCTCAGCTCCGAACTTCGCCCCTCTGGCTCCCACGTCACCGCAGCCAATTTCTGCACACGTCAAAAAGAAGTTCCCATGAACTCCATCGGGTTCTCGGAACCACACAGACCGAACAGAGCTGTGTTTTTTGAAGCCAGCCCCTCGGCCATCTCGGAATCCACCCTAAAACGTGGCACATGTGCCTATTGGCTTCAATGTGTTGTTTCTCCTGAAGTAGTTATTATGTGTTTTAATAGGGAGACCCCAATCCCAACGGGTGTCTATTTTCCTTTCTGCCGGTCTCCCTCTTTTGAGCTACACATTGGGGGTGGTGGAGAACCTGCAGACGCTCCAAATGCACTGCTTGCAGGCTGGAAGGCCAAGTGCACCGCATGCGCACCAAGAATGACCTCGGAGGCGATCCCCGTCGATCGCATCTCAGGAGTCCAGTTGACGAACGCGTCCGATCGTTCACTTCACGCGATGCCAGGCCCGGTGACGTAGCGAAGCTTGTTCCTAGTACACCAACATTGTAACATGGACCCTGAAAACAACTGGTTGGTAGAGGAAAACACTCTTCCAGGGGGGGACGTCAGGGTCGAGCTGTTCGTTGACTTGGGAGTGTCGTGTCTGACCCCTGAGCCGTTTGTTCACCGGAGCTTCCACCCTGTTCGACAGTGCCTGTGGGGTGTCCGCTGTGTGTGAGCACAAAGTAGCCCTACAACGTACGTCACCCCATGCCGCATGTAGCTGTGCTTGTAGCTATCCAGCTTGCGCGGTGTGTGGGCAAAGGATCATGACAAGCATCCCCAATCCCCCAAACATGCTTTGCAGGTCTGCATCCTGAGGCCCTGAGGCGCCTGATAAGGTGGTGCGAATGATGCCATGTTGATCAGTCCACCCTCCACTGTGCTCCCAGTCAAACATCCAAACTGACAAAGCTGTCCTGGATAAGGAGAACTGTTTCCTTCTCTGCAACCCTTGAGCCTCCCAACCCAAATGGCATGGTTGTAGCCTTCCACCCATGGCTCGCAGGTGATGTCGAAGCGGGCGTGCCACATGAAGATGCCTCGTGTGATGGCGTGGCGCCCCCCGTCGACCGCACTGGTCCGGGGCGTGGCGTCGCGATGCCGGAGCCCCGGTGACGTAGCGAGCGAAGCTTGTTCCTCGTATCTCCACCATGGATGGTGGGAACTCCACACCCACCCAACCCCCTGGTGACAGATTGGAACAGCCATTTGTTTCTGATTGAGACTGGCGGAATCCAGGAAGCACCTCAAATGCAGAAGCGGATGTTTTATATGTTTCATATATAGGGAAACACAAGCAGATTGGCATCAGTAAAAACGTACCTAAACTTGTGGTGCTCCTTTCATTCAGCTGATCTCCAACTCTTCAGCTCCACTGTTCGGCCTGCCGGTCAGTGATCTGCCACCGATTCACCATGGCTTGTTCTGGGTCGGCCATCATCCGAAAGACACCCCAAAACACCGAAGGTCCATGAACGCCGTCTCAGCACGTCGCCCGGGGAAACACCCCCCCCCCCGCGCACCGACCGACCGCGCCGGAGCGGGACGTCAACCGACCGACCGTGCCGGTCGGACGGCGTCGCCCTTGACTTCCGCTTTGACCCAAGTCCCGCCTTCTCAGAGATATGAATCTACCCGGACCTTCCAACAGGTCACCACCTGCGACTTTTAAGTCTACAAAAGCCTCCATTTCGGAGACCTGTTGGAAGGTGCTGGTATATTTGTGAGTTTAGATGTAGCCAAGAGGACTGGTTTAAAAATTTATTTTTTTTATGATTTTTTTATGTTTTCAATATGTTTCTATTTATGTTTTTACAAAGTGGTGTTTTTTGGTTTATGATATTTTTATGATTTTTTTGTTCTCTTTTATGTTTTATTTTATGTTTTTAATATGTTTTGTTGAAGTGCCTTTTTCATGTCTTCCCTTTAGCGTTTGTGTTTTTCTTGCTATCTTTTGGCAAATTCACCAATCGTTTTTGGCCTGTGGTTGAAGGTCCGTTCAAGGTTCTTGGTTTGCGAGCCAAATAAATATCAAGTATGTAGAAGGCCTGCAAAGTTTCATGTCCGTGATGTGATTGATAAGGGCTAGTGTAGCTCAGGACTCGCGAGGGCCAAAGATTGAAAAAACGGAGACGCTAACAATTAACGACTGAACTGATAGGATTCTAAATCTCAGACGTGCAAAGTGTCACGTGGCCTTGGGCCAAGGGCAAGGTTTCGCGGCGTTACTTGCAGCTACGTTGGTATAAGCCACCAGGCATTTAGCAAATAGAAGCAAGGGAATATCAATGGCAAGTTCTATGCTGGAGACACGGTGCAAAAAACCTAGCAGTGCGCAAGGTTTAAAGTGTTTGACGCCTTTAGGCCTTTAAGTAAGAAGGTTTCAGTTTATGCTGATTCCCTCAAGCCTGTGAAGGCTGTGCCGTACTCAGGGCCACAGGGAAGGAAAGGAACAGGACTTAGCGTTTGCTCCCCTGGCTAGCTCTAGGTGACCTCCCACCTGCCTGGGACTTCGGACGCGCCAGCTCTCCAGGGGCCACTGCGCAACCTGCAGACCTAGCCGCCGCCTTCCCAGCCACCGCGCTGCGTCCTACCCCAGCCGCGGAGGCGCGCCGCGCGGAATCATAAAAAAAAACATAAAAAAAATCATAAAAAAATCATAAAAAAAATCATAAAAAAATCATTAAAAAAACATTAAAAAAAATCATAAAAAAATAAAAATCTCCGAACCAGGCACATTTTCAAAAATTTTATGATTTTTTTATGTTTTTTTATGTTTTCAATATGTTTCCATTTATGATTTTCTTATGTTTTTTTTATGATTCCGCGCGGCGCGTCTCCGCAGGTGTGGGTAGGACGCGGCGCGGTGGCTGGGAAGGTAGCGGCGAGGTCTGTAGGTTGCGCAGTGGCCCCTCGAGAGCTGCCGCGTCCAAAGTGTAGAGGCTGGTGGGAGGTCACCTAGAGCTGGCCAGGGCAGCAAACGCCAAGTCTGCCCGGCCTGTGGCCGGCCCTGTGACGCTGAGGAAGGGGCCTTTCATGTTATGAATTTTGCCATGTGTGCACGCGCGGCAGAGAGAAGCTTAGTCGTGTTCCTGGTCATGGTCAGTGCCTTGTTTGTTGGTTTGAGTGCCTGCCTGCTGGTTTTACTGGGAGCGGTCATTTCTACGTCTAGGCAGAAGTCTGGCTTTTTACGACGCAGTCAAAAGTGCCTTGGTTTGCGTTGCTAGAGCCTAAAGCCCGAGCCTTGCCTCAAGCTTTACCGGTCGTACCCACACCATTCACATAGGACGCAAAGCGCGCTAGGTTAGCGTGATTGACATATATCCAGGGCCTGTATTCGGATTGCAGGCAAATTTTGACTGCTGGGAGAGGGTTTGCATAGTTTCTTTTGCAGAGTGAGTTATTTCATTTATATACTTGGCTGGAAACCAATACTTTACAAACCAATTTTTTCAACACAAGAACAATAGGACAGAAACAGAAACCCTGAAGAGGCAATGACATTTAAGCATCAAGGAAATTTGATGAAAAACAGTGTACTTTATTAAGAAACATAAAAAAACATAAATGAAAACATAAATGAAAACATTTAAAAAAAAAAACATAAAAAAATCATTAAAAAAAATCATATAACAAAACTGCCAAAAAACAAAAACATAAATCAAAACATAGTGAAATCATTAAAAAAAACATAAAAAAATCATTAAAAAAATAAATCACTTAAACGGCCTTGTGGCTCACATTTAGACTCACAATGGTATATGTTGTTTTTTTAAATGTATACCAGCACCGAACCCAACAGGTCTCCGAAATGGAAGGCTGTTAGGCCCCTAAGAGGTTTCAATTGGTGACCTGTTGGAGGTGCTGGTAGATGTGGCTTTGGAGAGGTATGTCGGTATTGCTCACTTCTATAGTCGGTCTTTAAGGAATCTCATCGAGATCCATGGCGCGTTTTTGTCTCTTTTGGATGGAACCCAAGGATGGTTTTTTCTCTCCACCTTTGATCCTTGGAGAGGGTCCGGTTGGGTGGGGCCTGACTTGAAGGAGCCACCAGTAACCACCCGCCTCCTGAGCTTCTGCCGTATGAGGACACCCAAAGGTTTAAGGATGTTTCAGGTGAACCAAATCTCTGGCGGACCCACTCGTTTCGGAACCTCTTTCCGTGCAGAACCAACCAGGGTGGGACCGACCGACCCATGGCTGCTGATAGATGTGGTGTTCTCCCTATGGAGAGACGCGTTCGCGTAACCTTGCGTTTCTGCAGGGTCCCCATGAGTGGTCAGTGCGATGGTTGACTCAGTGCGTTGATCTCATGACCAACGCGGATCGAGGAATCGAGGTGGACCGTCGCGGTCGTGAGCGACCAAGTGGGGGGTCTTGTGGTCGTGACGTACCTGGAGCAAACCAGTCCACCATGTAGCGGTCGTGATAGACCGACGTAAGGTCAACAAGGGTCGGTAGCCAAGTGCCGTGCCAGTTCCCCGGCGCCATTTGAGTTCTGTTCCTCCCAGGCACCACTCAGTGCTCGAGCGAGTGCCATCGCTGCGATGTAGTGGCTAGTCAGAGGCCTCAGCAGCGTTCGCAGCGTTCGCCGCACCGTTCGCAACGGCCCAGTTCGGCCGCGGCGTTCGTGTGTTCGACTGCACTGCATGAAATTCGGAGAGTTCGGCGCGGAGACATCTACGGAAGTGACTCGGAAGGCTCGTCTCGGTGGTGGGACGTCTCGGTGTGTGATTCACAGACTCTCGTGGAATGTCCGAACCAATCCAGCCTTGATCTGCATAGAGAGGGAGAGAGAGAGAGTCCATTTGACCTCCCTTAAGTGACAGCTTGGTCATGCTAGAAGAGTCCGTTGATCCAAGTTGATCCTCCCAAGCAGTGGTCCATCAACCGTACGGCGCCGGCGTCTTCCCACCCCACCGTACTTCTCTGTTCTGGACCGACCGGTCCGAAGTGGTGAGCTTTCGGAAGCAAAGAAAACACCCACTGGCGAGTAGGGGGCAGGGAACTGGGGGCAGGGACAGTCTTTTGGAGGCTCGGGGCCGAAAAAGAGGCCTGTTCGCCGCGACTGTTTGCCGGCCGCGTCGCGACAGGCCGCGTCCGACTGGGCGGCCCCGCTCGACCTTCCCACCGGTCTTGAAGATCAGCCACAACTGCCGTATCGCTTCACGACGGATCGCAGGGCCGTGACTGATGGATCGCGGAGAAGAAAGAGATACCTAGAACCTGGTCATGACCTCTTTTTTGGACCACCAACCACCCAAAAAAATCCAAAATAATCCAAACTATCAAAACAGAGGTCAAATGGGTTCCAGGTAGAAAGATCATTACGACACATCGAGAAGAAACATACCCCGGCCTGACGAACACATCACATGAGCAAATGGCCTGGTGGTGACGATGGTGGTGAACGGCCCTCCGCTGCCACCATGATTTGTAAGACCATGTTTGGTGGAGAAGCGGAATTATCCATTTCGCATGTGATGTCGTCGCAGTGCACCGTCGAACGCTTCAAGAACCGCATCAGATGGCCCTAGTTACCTCGATGTATCAAAGAACTGTACCATACTGCGTTGCTATGTGTGACCTGTTCCGCCATGTACAGGAGCTTTGAAGATGTATATAAATAGTCGCGACACTCTTGAGTTTGGACAAGGGCCACGTGCTTTGAAACCAAGCGGCCAAACATGTTTGGCTAGGCCATGGAAGTTTGACTAAGCTGAGCAATCATTCTTTTCTATGTCCTGTATTTGGGTGACCCAAAGTTCTACACCCTCAATTCAGAGAACCTAGGCAGTGTAGCCCTGCATACCCTGAGTATCGCTGAGTCCACTTCTCATGTCAGGATCAACATGTTTCTTGTGAATGTATTTCTCGAGTATGCGTACATATTATCGTACATTCAAAGGGTCCTCGTTGAAGGTCTGGGTCCGGTTGCAAAAAACGGTCAAGTCCCATCTTGATCCATCTATCTGGCCAACCAATCAGATGACTTGTGTCTAATAGGGGGAAGCACCTTCCCCCAAACGCCTTCCACGCCTTCTCGGCCAGACTTCTCGTGTCTTCCAAGCCAGATTCACAGGGCCCGGGTAGCTTCTGGACCTACGTAGACATCACCCTAGCCCTAGCTTTCCAAGACCATTAAAAGAAAGCTTGACCTGGTTTGGTAGTGTAAGACCCTTAGTAAAGCCATGGTTGTTCGGGATGACTCGCCTATTACATAAATCATTATAAATCAATGATGGGATGGGAAGCCAAGGGATCATGTTTTAGAAATTGATAGAATTTAACAAGTTCAGCGCTTAAAAAGACCATCCCTCCCAACCAGCGCCTGCGGTAGAACCGCCACAGCGCTGATAAAGAGGCCTGAAACCCGGACTTGGATCGGTCCCCTTATCCTGTCGGCAACATGTTCCACATGTGGAAATTCCACCAGACCGACCAACCTTGGAGCTCACATGAATCAGAACGGATGACCTGGGAGGTCCACCAAACAGGGAGGTCAGAGCCATGCGGTGCCATGACCCACACCCGAAACCGGCTCCGACTCCTGCAACCCGAAGGATGCCGCCGTGAGTGAAGACGGGGTGCCCGGAGGCGGAATGGTTCAGGAGACCAACACCGGACCGGTGCCACGTACCTTTTGGGTAAGGTGGACCATATATGTACCAGCACCGAACCCAACAGGTCTCCGAAATGGAGGGTTGGGAAAGGCCCTAACAGGTTTCAATTGGTGACCTGTTGGAGGGTGCTGGTATGTGTATATATATATATATTATCATACACGTATACCCTAGAAGTCCAGTGAGACGATATTTTGACTGTCTGAAGTGTTCAGGAACTGACTGTATACTCAGGTCCCCGTTCGTCAGTCAGACCATTCTTTTTAGAGTCGACTGAACTCCCAGGGGATATGGTTGTAGGTCATGGCACCGGGGACCTCTGGCTTTTCCCCACCGAAAATGAACAGAATCGACTACGAGACGTCCACCTACCAGGGATGGAAGCTGCAGGTGCCATGACCCACAGCCATATCGCCAAGCCACCATCAGTTGACCATAGGCTTTGGGTGGTTGAAGAAACACAAAACGATTCTTTAGGAATCTCACCGTGCTGGTCACCAAGAGATGTGCCCAGTTGACTCAACGATGTCATCAGACAACCAATTTCCTCCACTACTTAAGTCAGTCGGCAAGTCATCTGACGAAAGGCCACTGTTGGGGCACCCCCAAATCCCATCAACCCAAAGGCTCATTGGATCCTCATCGTCTGGGTGTTGGGGTTTTGGACCGAACCAACATGTAGCAGTTGGAGGGTCCAGGGTCGCATCTGGGTCCCTGAAATCATCATGGTGGAAGTGGATGGCATGATGGCTATGCATGGCCCTGAAAGGAAAGGATGACCGTGTGGCCATAAACCAAACAGGTGGTGGCCAACCATGAAATCTATCTGGACAATCTTGGGGAAATCATGAATCCCACCCGCAATAGCAACAAGTTGGGAAAAAAGAGTGGTGGAACGGTGGAACTTGATTCCATTCTCAGGACACTCCACCAGAATCGGATGAGAGAAACTGCACGGTCTCCAAATCCCTACAGCTGCTTCATGCAGGCTCATAATGTAGACTGTGGACTGATTAATGATTTTAAAAAGAACAGCCTGGAGATGAAAAGACCATTTTGGTACGTAGTGTAAATTCATTCTCAAGTCTACATTGTGAAGAAAAACTGAAAAAGACGGGTTTCGTGCATTCTACTGCATCCATGCGTCAGGATTCGGCAATGTGTGAAGCAGCCGAGGGTAAATAACTGTGAGCACGGATGAATTAAGAACCAGAGTGTCTGAAGAGATCATAAGAGATCAGTTTTTGATGTTCCAAGGATTCCAAGGATGTATTTGGGGTCCACATGACTTGAAACGCTGGAGGATTCCAGGCTTTTGGGCACACGAACCCGAACCCGCCCTGCCGCTCGTGCCCACGCGTGCCGGTGCCTGCCATCCATAAGGTGTCGAAGGCGGGCCGTGCATTCATGTCCTGCGAAAAGCGAAGATCAAAGGAACACCTCCGGCAGATCCCTCCAATCCAAAGGAAGGAAGGAAAGACCGACGGAAGAGACCGACGGAAGCCGGGAGACCGACGGAGAGACCGATGATGACGACGGAAGGAAGGACGGAAGCCGGGTCTTCAACCTATAGGGAGACCGACCCCCTAGTGATGACGATCCCCTTCGGCCCTTCGACTTCGGTTCGCAGCATCGAGCAGGGCCAGGGGTTCTCCATGCTAAACTACACCCGCATGAGCTCTTTAACTTTCAAGAAACAACGGTATTTGATGTGATTGTCCATGATTTGTAGTGTTTGTATGTGTTTGTGATAAGCCAGAGTGTCATGATACTTGGCGTAGAAACGATCCCAACATAGTTTTGACGATGTGTTGAGATTCTTGGGCAGAGCTTCCTTATTGGTTTCTCTTTGCTGTAGATCATTCCCATTACACGCATTCAATCAAGACGACCCACAAAATTGAGATGGCTGTGGATGAAGACTTTAACAGACAGGGATCGCTTGATGTTTGGAGTAAGAAGTAAAGTGCACACCTCTAATGAAGAATATCGTTGCTTCAATGATTGAACACCTGCAAAACGAATCCTCGAATGATGACATGATGAGACTTAAGGGCAAATTGCTTGTGGACGACAACAGCCCCTTTCCTCGAGACCTTTTAGAGTCTAAAGCATGTAAAGAGGCAGAAGAGCTGGTTTCGGGGATTCACAGTGCCTGCAGGCGGTGACCACGGCCCTTTTTGAAGCCAAAGGAGGGGCACGACGTGATGGACGCAGTTTCTGAGCTGTTTCTGACGTCTCTAAACTCGCGTGCGCACGAGGTACGAACCGCGGCGCACGAACAGCGGCCACTCCGCCGCGGCCACACCGGGCTGCGAGTCACTCTGCCATCATCTGGCTATGCTCTTCCCAGACTTCCAATCATGCAGGGTGCTGAGATCCCGGCTGCGTGAAAGAGACTCGCAAGGATCAGGCATGCCAGAACCTGGCACGCTCCACGCCAGTCCAGCACGGCCCACCCTGGGCTGACGACTCTGCTTGGAAAAGAATCTTCCAAAAAAACACCATCCAAGTGGTGGGAACGCCGGGAACGCGCTGGCGATATCATCAACTGATCGCAAACGTTCACCGTCACCGTCACCACGTCACAACTGAATCCTTCACCTCCACCCGAACGAACGGATTTGGATAGGACTTCAGTGCGACGGAGGAGACGTCAAATGGAGGGAATGGCTGATCCACTTTGGAGACTGATCCACTTTGGCTGGCAAAGCAAGGTATAGTGGGAAAGTATTGTCCCAAAAAGGTTTAAGGTTAATCCACTTTTCTTGGGTGGGGCGGGAAGGAGAAAGCTCATCCTGGAGACGACCATCTCAGATTCATACAAACCCCACCTTGGCACGGACAGGCAGATCAAACACGTGTTTGACCACTGAAAACTGGGCCAGCGGTGCATGTCCAGGATTTATTGCACCGTGTTTATGGTTCCCTGCCGAGTGTCCACATGACACATTACAGAAACCCTCCAAGTGAGGTCACAACAGATTGCGTAGATGCCACGAATCTGTTAGTCCAGCGTTTTCCCAAGGTAAGACTGGCTAAAATAGAGGTGAACCCTTTTTGAGCCTGTTCGTTTCTAGTGGGGAAACCCAATGCAAGAAAAAAGGAAGGTGGTAGGAAGCCTGGCTGGGTAGGAAGCAGTCCACAGTCCCTGTGTGCAATACTGATCTAACAGGATGTTCAGATATGTCAGATACACAAAAGACAGGATGCTGGAGGTATACCCCTAATATTCCTGGCCAAACCTTGATTTCATAGCCAGGTCATCCCGAACCAACAGCAGGGTTTATACTTAGGATTTTCCACTAAAACACCAGGTCAACCATTTTAAGGGGTCGAACGGAAGGCTAGGAGTAAGCTTGCTAATTGGAAGCAGACACCGATGCTACAAGTCATCAAACAGGTCAGAGGCACCACTGGAGTGGCTGGAAAGTTGTCCTGTCAGGCACATGTCGGGAAAAAAGATCATGGTCTGTGTGTCAAATCTATCAAAGCTCTGGAAGCTCACCGACAGCTCGGAAAAATGGAGTTCAAGCGAATACTGGGGTTCAAAAAGGGCGCCGTCCATCCGTCTATCCGCACAGGTGACGAGCTTCGCCAGTGACACTCGAAACCATTCGCTCGACGCTTCTCCTGCTCCTCCTGGTAGGTGCTTCTCTTCTCAAAAAGCAAGGAATGCCTTGGTGCTTCGTGCAACTGCACACACACACACACACAAAAAAAAAAGCAAGCCACTGATTTTCTGGATGTATATTATATATATATATATGTGTGTGTGTAAACAAACACAAATGGCAGTTGCATGGCTCCCAACAGAATGGAACTTCAATGAATTTCAGCATGGTACGGTTGCAAAGAATCAAAGTCTTGCCAGAAACCTTCAGATAGATCCATGAGACCTATCTCTTCACCCGCCAGAGAGCTGCCTTGACCAGGAAGCTGCAAGAGCTGCCGTGGACCTTTTGCCCTGGAAGGTTCCACTTACATCTGCTGACCTGGCTGTTCCTTTTCAAGACTTGCATCACAGACGCTTCTGGTACAAGTATGTTCATCCCAATTCCCATCTGCCCGTCTGCCATCATCTCCCCATTCTTTGTGACTGGTCGTCGACGTTGGACGGTGTCATCTTCGCCAGTCGGACCGGGTCGTCGTCGTCGTTTCTTCTCGGCTCGGGAGGTCCGTGTTCCAACCGATGGCGTTTCGGATCGTCTTCTTCTCCACGGGACATCGGGACATCGTCGACACCGGGCCCCGGTCACACCGGCGTCTTCCACTCCGGGTTTTCGCTTCGGAAGAGCGATGGTGGAAGCCACGATGTCGACATCGGAACAGGATCGGATCGGCGAGTCCAGGACTCTGCAAAGGTCCGAGGATTCGTGGCCCACCACCCTTGGCTCAATATGAATGTTATATATATATATATAATGTATGCTATAATGATGGGTATACTAAAATGGGTTTGACATGGTTTGACCGAAGAATCATTGGGTTTAGGTCTTTGATGTCAGACTACAACAGGTCAACTGATCGGCTCAGCGACATCCGGACGCTGGTCCAACACAGACAGTGCCGAGTGGCAGGAGCCAAAAGACCAAGACCAGGGAGACCACGTCCACGGCCTCCGCGGTGCTTCCATGGGGCGCAATGAACGTTGAAATACTCCGAAAAGAGGACCGTCTCAGACGGTAGAATCAGAAACAACATGAAACAACAAATGCATGGAACTGTTGCATGTGTTTTTTTTCTAGCGCTTTAGATGGGATTACGGTTTATGCGTGTTTCACCTTTCAACTGCTAACCCAAAGGAAAGAACAACAATTGACCCTGTCCAATGTCCACCAAACATCGTCGCAGGCTCACTGAAGCGCACAAGTGCCGGCACATGCCATGTCAAGCTGTTTGCACTTAAAAGCTACGCTTCTTTGAAGGCCCAGAATCCTAGAATAAAGTGAAGCACCTCCAAAATGTTCCAAGCATAGCCCTGCAGATCAACGCTCCTGGCCCACCAAACACTCCCACTCTCCTCCATTTTCTCGACACGTCAAACTGGACGCAAATTCCACCGCGGCCTGGAAGACGAAGTCTCCAGATGCATCCACTGGCAGGTAGCCATGCAGCCAAAGCCTTGGGGGCTTCACAAAGCACCTTCCAAACACTGGACTCCAAACCTCTCAAAAGACCCGAAACTTCTTCCAGAAACCCAACCGGTCGTCTCCTTCTTTGCCCCAAACTGGCCGTTGCACCCCCCATTTCACCTTCGCCCCCACGTTTGGTCCCCGGGCGTCGAGGAGAGGCGGAAGCACAGCGACCACGCCTGGGGCGTTGGCGCGGGCGGGCAGAGGCGGTTTCGGGGCGTCGTCCACGATGCCTCCTGTTGAGTGGAAGCCAAAGGAAGGTGGATGACGTGGCCGTGGCCGGGTCAAACACTGGGGAGGCTCAGTTGACTTCGCTTGGGTAGAGACATCAACCAAGAAGCCACCTGTTTCACCCATATTGATCTCCTTTTTGCTCCTCCAAAGCAAGGGGAGTTTGACCTCCGGCTCCAGGAGTGACAACTGAAGAGTGCCCCTGGAGAATTGCAATTAGTTCATTGACCTTTATACATCCTTTTCCATCTGGGGAAACCAATCAACATGTTTAAGGCGTTTAAGGTTCACCACTTTTCTGGGCGATGTCGACGACACCTCCTGCTATTTTTCACACTGAAAACGAAGGACAACTGCAAGCGTGCAATGGCCGAGTACACAGAGCAGTTTTGAGTGGTGTAGGTCTTTGATGGTTTATTGCAACGTTGTACGGTGTCGTCGCCGGCTCCTACACTTCCTGTCTTCCTTGGAGCGTCTGCTTCCCATACCTTCCATCTAAAATCAACATCCACAATACGAACAACACCCATCAAAACATATCAATTCAAAACAAACCAAAACCCAAACTCATTTACAGCAAAAGCCAAAATCCATCCTCATCCCAGTGAGAGAGGCAGGATTCCTTATGGCTGTCAAAACGCTCCAACACTATTGGGACCAGTTTCAGGCCGTCCAAACTCACCATGTTCACCCCCCATCTCACTGGAAGACCCCCACGTCCAACGCCAATGCGCGGGCAGAGATGCCAGCGACGCTGCCCTGGAGCGACGACACCACTCAAGCGAGCGAGCTCGCAAACCCCCCCGGGCACGACGAGGCAGGGGGAAGGAAACCAACCCTTCAAGGTGCGAAAGCAGGACTACTCCAAAACTCCGGCTTGCCATGTCAGTGCTTCACTTGCAAATGAGGAGAAAAGGCGCCATCAGCGTATCCATGGGTTCTTCGTTTTTTCCCAAAGACCGCCGTTTGGTTTTGTTGCAGACCCTTCTGCACATGGGCTCCAGTTCACCCACGACCTGAAGAACAAAGGCTGTACTCAGACTCACTAACATGGAAGTGGAAAAAGAAACACATGGAAAACCACCTGTTGGTAGAGGAGACTAGTCATCACCAGGCCATATAAACCTCCCATAGTCATCCTCGTCTTTCCGGATCCGTCTCTCCATACGACCCTCCAAGGTTCGGCCGTTCGGAGACCCGTGACGACAGGTGCTTCGACCGGGTGATGCTTCGACCAGGTCTTGTTCACGTTCGTCTGCCGCGTTTGGACTGGGGGCCCCCTGCGGTAAGGAGGACTTGCACCGCCAGCAGCGCAAAGCCCAAACATTGAAAGATCACCTGGCACGGTCAGCGCGGCGGTGCGCCGCGGACGGTCGAGTTTGACGCCAGATCTCAAGAGGGTCTTTACACCAGATCTTCACAGGCACGACTGAATGCATAGATCAATAACCCCCGCAGTTACTGTTGGATTGTAAAGCCCTAGGGGTCCAGTCGTACCTCTGAACGGGTCGAGGTGGAACATGGATGAAAACGGTGGCCCACAAATTCTGCCTCGAAAACAAAAAAGGAAGTCACTCTTGCCCCACAGTCGATGGTCAGCAGTCAAACTCCTCCAAAGTGGAAGAGTCTACCAGTTTCCCAAACTCATAAATTGGTTTATCAAGGCGTTCAATTGACCATGGACCGGGCTCCCATGGCCCATCACTCATTGAAGTGGAGTCTGCGCGGCTGGCAGATTCAAGGCCCCGGTCATAGAGGATGCGAACGGTCATGGTCATCGAAGCAACGTCGGTCCTCTCCAAATCCTTGAAAAGTAGAACCTTCCACCAGCTTGAAAAATACCACTTGCAAACACCCAGTCCACGAAGTCCACGTGTGACCACTTTCTTGACCACTTGGGACTCGAAACCCTGATCGATTGAGCTGAGAACCGGACGGCCAACGTCAGGATCGCCGAGAACCTCGGTCGGAGCTGGGGCGACGGGGACCGCCTCCCCGTGGAGCGAGTAAACTCGCGCGCGGAGGTTTCGCCCAGAATACTCACCCAACAAAAGAGAGGAGGTGCTATGAGTTTCTAACAGCGTTCGTCCACGTTGACGAGCTCTTCGCCCCGTGTCCGGCAGAGAGGACTGGACCAGAGGAGTGCGATCGTTGCTGGTTGCGGAACATCTCCAGCTGGTTGGTCCAGCTTTGGCGGCCCCGAGCCCGTTGAGGTTCAAAGACCCTTCTATGCAGCAGCAGGTCCTTGATTCCAACGGTTTCAACATGTTTTAACCTAAGATGTCCTGTCGTTTTTCAGGAAGTCGGTCACAGGCCCTGCCAAACCGATTCCCTGAATTTCCTACCGTCCCTGCTGCTAACTCATGTTATCTCGTGATGTTCAACATCCCTCCCAGGCTTGATGGAGGTCCCTCAAAAATGACCTGAAATTGAACATGATTTAACTACCTGGACCATCCCATCTGGGTGTTTTGTCTGGAGATCCCAGATCCTAGTACCTGCGGCACCCTGTGGACACCTATTGTTGTCCATGGTGCTAATTGATGTCTTTTCATGGGTTTTGATGAAATTCACGTCCACTCACGACAGTTCACGTCCATTTTGAAGGGTGCACGGTTATTCACGTCCATGAACCTTAGCCTTTCTTGCTATAGAAAAATGCCTATATTTGAGTGTTCTGCACACCCCAGAAAACATAATGTATAGGCAGTATAGCAAGAAGCTGGTCCTTGATGGCCGCCCCCCAAAAGTCCAATCCCATTGACCAAAATACCAAAGCACATGAAAACCCAGACCACCAGCACCCCCTTCCCGAGTCCATTCTCCGTCTTCTCACTCTATAACTTTTCCCCTTCAAGCTCTGGCCCAGCTGATTTGGATCTGGCAAAGATACCGCTGGAGCGTTCTTTTGGCAATCTGTTTGGGCGATACGCAACGACTTAACGTTGCGTATCGCCCTATGAAATCTTCGTCCATGGAACACGACGTTGCCGCTGGATTCCACGTGTATGGACTCCTTCTGGATTGATGGCGCATGCGATGTGCCACTTCGTGGACAGCATGAAGCTTGGGAAAGAGAGCAAACAGAACTTCTCCAGCCTGAAATGCTGCGTCTGCCTGATAGCAATAGGCAGCAATGAACTGGTACAAGCAATCGCTTAAATGGCCAGCCACTCCAGAATCTATAAAAACATCTTGCTCATAGATGCCTTTCATGAAGCGGTTCACGCACTGTGTTCCGTGAGCCTCAGTGCATGCATGTATGCGAAGGAACGAGAACACAAAACCTCAACAGTCGAAGAAAGACTGAGACCAAAGAGTTCACTACAAGCAAACCCGCACCATTGCTGGAAAGAAACAAAAATCTTCAGACGTTCATCGCCCCGAATCTGCTCGGCATGCTCACGACAAAAATCTTCAAGGTACCGCATGAAGTTGGATGTGACAGCGGCTTTGTTCCAACTTCCAGTGCGCTCTTTTGAACTTTGTCCGAAGGTCTCCTTGTCGATTCTGCGGATCACAGGATCTATTTTCTCACGTTTGCAGAAGTCTTTGTAGCCAGCCGCGATGACTGCCACCCGCTTGTCGATGTTGGACTCGGGGATGATCTTTTGCAGCATGAGAACTCCAGACGCGATCCAGGACTTGCCTATTCCAAGATGAATGGCATGCCAAATGTCCATCTGGTGGAATTTGGACTTTCCATTCGGTCCAGCGTCGTGTAGTAGGAGCCTTGTCAAAGGAGACTCTCGCGACCATGGGGTCTGGATCTCCTCAACATATGAAGCGTCCATAGCCTCATCAGCAGCTTTCCTCATTGGGATCGATCATTGACGACCGGGAATTAAACGCTTCAACACATTTAAGTCTGGCCAGTCTTTGACCCCAAGGTAAACATGCACATATTGAAACACGCAAGGGGCTCTTGTTCATCTTTCTATACTTTCCATTGGTTCGGGTGTTCCAGTGCTTCCGACAATTTACAAAAGGAAGCTCAAAGAAGAATGTTTTTGTTCAAGGATGAAGTCACAAATCCTCCCAGTCAATTCCCTGACCGCAGATGCATAAGTGGCACATGCCAGCCCCTTCTGCTCCGCAATCCTTCTCCCCAGCTCCTTTTGGCGCCCTTCTGTAGGACCGATCAAGGTTTGCAGATTCAACCTTTGGTGTCCCAAGACTGAAAGTCAGCATGTATATACGGCTCGATGAGGTTATGCGATGCCCACAAAATCCTTTCTTCACAAAACGTGTCTATATATTTGTGCAACGTGACTGGATACCAGCTTGAACCGATATGAATATATACTGTTTATATATAGGGTTGGTTCAACGTCCTGAAACTGAATAGCTGGTGTGTCAAATCCCAAAAATGCTAAAACTGAAATCGACCAGGGAACAAGGTAGCTCCAGTCCCCCTTGTTTCCAAGTATAATTGTGTAGATGACCTCACCTCCCCCAAGCTGAACTCCATGTCTTTGCGCTTGAGCGAGGTCTTCGGTGACAAACTCAAAAATTGCATGCCACAGCCTCCTGTCTTCGCTGTAGAGCTCCTGACCGGGGCCAACGTGTATAAGCATTTGGGAACCCATCCATGCTATATACTCTATAACCATTGTATAACCCTTCTTCCAATATGAAAATTGGATCTTGAAACGGAAGCCACCCCTCTCCTTGGGACAAGCGCAAATCAAAATTCGAGTTTGAAGGGCATTCTTCAAAAAATTGAGTGGAATCCCCTCGTCTAAGGCCCTGAGGTTCTGCTCCATCTCCTTTGCCCTTTTCGAAGACCCAAATCCAATGGCCCCTTGAAAACTGAAAACAAATATGCCTCCTTTCTTGAAGCTGACTCCTTCATCTCCGTGAAGAAAAAGTGGCAGACACTGTGACAAGTCCTTGTGGCCATCGTCTACTTGCTCCCACAATTGGAAATTTGGGTATGCAGCCCTGTACTTCTTCCAAAAGTTTAGCAGCATCGGTTTGGCCTCCTTGAGGCTATAACCTCCCAGCAGGTGGCACAAGTCATTCATCTTGTGCATTGTGCGGAGAAAATCTGAAGGTTTGATCCATGGAAATCCCTTCAAGGGTGCCCTCTCTTCTGTAGTCACCGGGACCGGGTAGTAAAACTTGTAGTCCTCAAAGACTTGTTGAACTCCATCTTCCTTGGTTTGAGGCCGAGTTGAAGTTATTGCAAAATGACGAGTAAACCTTCTAAAGGGACATGAACGCAAACCCAAAGTGTTTATAATTAAGTTGTTCGATTCCCAGAATCTGATTTTTTGGGGTGGATCGTCGCGAGGGCAGAGAGAACCGGACAGACCCCGCAACCAAAGGCTGCCGCATCTCGCATGTCCGCAGCAGCATCAGCGATAATGTCGCGGCACTTCTCCTAAGATGGTTGGCCATGGGCTTTGCGACCACCAAACTATATAATCAATATATAGGCATGCGCAGACCTATCATGAAGAATGTTGACACAGCAAATGTATATACTCGTATATGCATGAGACTTCCTGTTGCCTCACAAAGGCACAGCACCAAAGTATTTTGGAGTGAAACAACTATAACACTATATTTGTTTCCCAGGTCTTTCAATTCAGAGTTGAACAGATCGACATCAACATCAACAACTTTCACAAGCAAAGCTTCGCCCCGGCCATACTTCCACGCCAGCCGTCTAGCTCTATGCGAGGGCCCTGGCAGTTGTGGTGTGGGCATGGGAAGCAGTTCAAGACCGAAGATATCAGTGAAAGAGAACATGCATGGACATGTTCTGAACGAGGACAGTGGTTGGGTCAATTCACCATAAGTATAGTTTGCATGCCCTCAAAAAAGGACTGGAATTGTGATTATAAATAACCCCAACATTCATGCATAAAGAGTTCACACGCAGCACGTACCATTTTGATCTTCTCATCGTTGGGTTGCAAAAGACTCTAACACGTGGTGAAGACCACAGGTCAGATATAGATAGGTGCACAGAAACTCCATAAGCCCCAGAGCTTCAATGCGATGCCCGGACTATAGCTTGGATTGATCCACGTGGATTTCCACATGGCCTGGCTCCCCAAAACAGCACTGTTGCACTGCAGGGGTCGATCCATCCACCAAACCCATACCCAACAAACCAAACCACAATACCAGACTATATAGAGAGCCATACAGAGGGTGTATACTTGAACTCACATAGAAAACTGAAGGAAGAGTGAATTCTCGATCCCTTTGTGCTCAGGTCGCTATTTGCGACTTTTTTCTGAGTAGGCTTCTCTGAGGCCTGCTCTGCGGCTGCAGGGTCGGAAGGGCGTCGAGAGGATTTCCCCTTTCTCTCCTTCTTACCCTTAGCAGCCTTTGAAGGCTTCGACTTCCCGGATTTGTTCTTGGCCTTGGCCTTTCCTTTGGCCTTCTCACCATTCCCGCTCTCAGTCTTGTTCTTCTTGTTCTTCTTGTTCTTCTTGTTGGTCTTGGTCTCCTTCGCCAGTGTCCTGACCAGGCTATATATACAGCTGTCAGTCGAGGGGGAATATCGCAAAGGGCTTGAATTGTAAGGTTGTAAGGTTCGTGAATGTTGTTGACTCTTTTCCATGATTGAAATATATCGAAACCATTGGCCTGTAACGTGCCTCAAGTGGGATAAGGGCCGAGCACCTCGCAATGTTGCAATCAAATCAATTGTTTTGGCGTGTGTGCGAGGCACACGTATATGATGTTGAGTCCCAGTTACTGGTCTCTCACTGCATTCTTTTCCTGAACAATCTCATCCAAAAGCCTTAGCTTCATGGCATATGTATGGACGCCTAATGATTTGGACATGCAAACAAATAAAGGCAAATCATTTCTCCCCCTGTCCAGCGTGTCCTAACGAACGGGCGGCGGCGTGCGAAACGACCTGTACACCATGTACACCAAATATGGGCCGGTCTTGTCGGCATGGATGGTCTCACCACCATCTCGGATGTTCCTGAAG